TGCTGAGGAAGAATTCAAAAGACTGATATTTAGGTACTGTCAGCATATTGACAAAAAGATCAAGGAAAGCAATGCAGAAAAACAAAAAAACCAACTTTAAAAGAATTCAGGAAAACACTATAAGAACGAACAGTCAAAATAAACACAAAATTTTAAACAATGTACAACCTCCAAATAGAAATCCAGAAGCTTATTACTAAGATCTCAGAAATGCACAATGCACTAAAAGGGCAAAGGAGTGGACTTGAATGTATGGAATCCCAGATTAGTGACCCGAATATAAATCTCTCAATACTAAGCTAGACGGTCAATCAGGAAAAAGAATGAAAAAAAAAAAAAAAAAATAGGGAAAAAAGGCATGAGATTTATGTGGGACACCATAAAGAGGAATGACTTACAGGTCATCAGAATTCCAGAGCAGGAAGAAACCAAGAAAATTGTTGCAGAGTTGCTGATAACAACTTTCCTAACTTTAGGAAAGACAAGAATATAACCATTCAAGAAGCTGAACAAACCCCAAACAGGATGGACCCCAAAAGAAAATCACCAAGCTAGACCATAATAAAACTGCCCAGAACCAACATTGAAATTAGTTTTTCAGCTAAACAGAAATTAATGGAATTTGCAATAACCAGAACAACTTAAAATATATATATATTAAAGGGTTTTCTTTGGACTATGGACGAACAACAGCAGACGACAATCTGAGATTAACATACATGACACCACTACCCAGAGCTCATTCCTGATATAAAAGTATCTCAAGTAAAACACAGCTACAAAACTGAAAAACCTGGACTTCTGGTATGGTGCTGTAGGATAGGCACTGGGCCGCAAACCACAAGGTCAGCATTTCAAACCCCCACCAGCTGCTCCTTGGAAACCACCGTATACGGGGGCGCTATGAGTTGGAACCGATGATTCCACAGCACTTAACAACAACAGTAGTTAAACAAACCTGCAAGACTGAAAATAGGGAACCAGAGTACCAGTTTATAACAAAGTCAAGTACAAAGCAAAAAGAGGGAGTAATATAGATATAGAACTTCCAAATGGCAAGGAAGTGAAGTAGACTTTCAAGATAAAACAGACTGTTTTAAATGGGGCAAGAATTTAATAGAAATGACAGGATACTCTCAAGGAAAATTAATATACCTTCACATCAAAATAAAAAAGAAGAAAATTTGAAAATTTAGTAAACAATAAAGCAATAGCAATAAAAAAAAATGAAAAGAAAAACCCACAAACAAAAAGAACTCAGCACAGAAATTTATGTGGAACAAAGAAACTAGTAACACCACAAAAAAAAACGCAAAGCAAAATGACAGCAATGAATTAATACATATTGATAATTATACTGAATATAAGTGCACCCATCAAGAGATACAGTAGTGAAATGAATAAGAAAACAGGATCCTTAAATATGCTGTCAACAAGACACTCACCTTACACACAAAGGCAAAATGGATTATAAGTCAGAGGATGGGAAATATATGGCAAGCTAATGGCAATGAAAAACAAGCAAGAGTAGCAATATTAATCTCTGATAATGAGATTATGGCAAAAATTAGCATACAGGACAAAAAAGGACGTTATATCATGTTTAAAAGACCAGTTAATCAAGAGTTCATAACCATAATAAATATCTATGCTCCCAATGAAAGAACCTGAATACAGAGTATTCAACTCAACTATAGCACACTATACATTGTTTTCTAATGCACATGGAACACTCTATAGAAGAGATCATGTTAGGCCACAGAGCAATACATTTACAATTTAAAAACGTCAGAATTTTATAAGCGTCTTCTCAGATCACAACACTATAAAATTAGAAATCAGCAATAGAAAAATCAAGGGGGGAAAAATACATGGAGATTGAGTAACACCCATCTTAAAAGCTATTGCGTAGTAGAAGAAGTAAGAAATGAAATAAAATTCCTAGATTCAAATGAGAATGAAAACAGCATACCAAAACCTTTAGGATACAGCAAAAGCAGTGTTGTTGTTGTTTAATGCTGTCAAGTTTCTGACTCGTAGCGACCCCGTAGAGGGTTTCAAAGGAGCGGCTGATGAATTTGAACTGCCAGCCTTGAAGTTCTATTGATCATGTAGTCCAGTGCCTAATCCTACAGTGCCACACCAGGACACCAAAAGTGATATATAGAGGACAATTTTTAGCACATACTAAAAAAGAAGAAAGACCTCAAATCACCACAACCCAGTTATCACCAACCGTTAGACAAAGAGGAGCAAACTAAGCTTACAGCTACTAGAATAAAACAAATAATAAAGGTTAGAGCCTAAATAAATGAAATAAAAACCAGACAACAGAATCAACAAGAAGTTGTTCTTTAAAAGGATTAGTAAAGTCAACAAACCATTGGCAAATCTAACAAAATAAAAGAAAATGCAAATAACATGAATAAGAATTTATATGGCTGACATCACAGTAGAACCAATGGAAATGAAAAGGATAACACAATACTATGAAGACTTTTACTCCAACAAATTTGAAAATCTAGAAGAAATCTTAAAAGTTTTCTAGAAATGCCTGATTTACACAAATTGAAGTAGAAAACTTGAACAGACTATAACAAAAGAAGAAATTGATCAAGTCGTTAAAAGAATCTCAACTAAAAAAAAGTCTGGGCCCAGATGCCTTTACTGGTGAATTCTACCAGGAATTCAGAGAGAAGCTGACACGAATTCTACTCACATTTATTTTATGAAGCTAGCATAACCAGGTACAGACATCACTAAAAAGATGAACATAGATGTAAAAATTTTCAGCAAAATCCTAACGAATAGAATCTAACAACATATTAAATAAATAAATAAATAAATAAAGTAAAACCTCATAATCAAGTGGGATTCATATCAGGGATGTAGGGATGGTTCAGTATTCCGAAAACAATCAATGTAATCTACCACATAAAACAAAAGAAAAGACAACGTGATCATGTAAATTGGTGCATAAAAAGCATTTGACAAACTTGAACACCCATTCTGGACAAAAACACAACAAAACAGGAATTAATTCTATAATTAATAAAAAAAACTATAATTGTGCAACATAATTAAGGGCATACATACAAAACCAATGGCCAGCATTACTTTTAACAGAGAGAAACTGAAGCCAATTCCCCTTGTGAGCAAAAAGCAGACAAGGATGCCCTTTCTAACCACTCCTATTCAGTATTATGCTAAAAGTGTTAGCCTGAGTTGTAATGCAAGAAAGGGAAATTCAAGGCATCCAAGTTGGCAAAGAAGAAGTAAAACTCTGTTTGCATTTGATATGATCCTATACATAGAAAATCCCAAAGACTCACCAAGAAAAGTATGGAAGTTACTGAAAGATTCAGCAGAGTGGCAAGGTACATAGAAGAGCAACATTCAAAACACTGCTACAAGAAATCAAAAGAGACCTACAAAAAAATGGAAGCATATACCATGCTCATGGATAGGAAGAGATAATGCCATCCCAATTAGTCATGATAACAGTTACTCTATTGAATCACAAGAATACTATCTTCCATGAACCTTTGAAGCTTCTTGTATTACGTTCCCTCAAAATATATTGCAAACCACAACCTTATAGTTAAGGAATCCTGATAGCATTGTGGTAAGGCACTTGGCTGCTGACCATAAGGTTGGCAGGTTGAGCCCATCAGCCACTGTATAGGATTACAGTCTTAGAACCCCGATGGGACAGTTCTCTTCTGCTGTGAGTTGGAATGGACTCAGGGCAGTAAATTTGGTTTGGGTTTTTTATCTGTGGTTGTAATTTCATTGGGGCATGGGGTTTCTTTGTATATCACTGAGGCAGTGTTATTGTAAGGTGTGTCTTAAAAACATCTCTTTTGATATATAAAAGAGCAGATGAAGCAAGAAGTAAGCCAGAACAGTTAAGGGAAGATTTCCAAGGCACACAGAAGTCCACAAGGAACTGAGGGACAGCTGAAAATTGGCGGGGACCTTTCCCCAGGACTGACAGAGAGAACCTTCCCCTAGAGGTGGTGGCTTGAATTCTCCTAAACTGGGAGAAAATCAGTGTCTGTTGGTTACAGGTACCCACTTGTGGTATTTCTCTGAGAGCAGCACAAGAGAACTAAGAGTAATAGAGAATTCTCATGTTTGGTGATGTAAAATCAAGAGGATGGAAGGCAAGAGAAGCGTGGTGGGTAAGAGCGTAGACCTCAGGGACACCTGAGCTGAAATTAGGGCCCTTTTGCTTGTTAGTAGTATGATGCTGTAGGAAAAGCAGTGGACTACTAACCTCAAGGTCAGTGGTACAAACCCACCAACTCCTCCTCAGAAACTCTATACAGGATTGCTCTGAGTCAAATCGACTCGAAGGCACTTAACAACAAAGTTTAAAAAAAAGTTCAACGGGCACAGGCACGTCATCAATTATAAGACACAGTGCAACTCTGGAGAAATGGATACCTTAGAGTTGATGGCATCTGGTCTTTGTTTGGGAATATGTCTGATTCACACCTTTCCACTCACTGGATTGTAGGGTCCTGGAGGGCCTTTAGAGGCTGTGACTTACTCATTTTGTACTGAGTGTTGGTACCCAGCACTCAGTCAGTCTCTGACTCATTGGAAATAGCAGTGATACTTTTAGTGCATGACCAACTTCTCAGAGACATGTGGCTTTGTGGGCCTCATGTATTCTTTCAGTTTGGCAAGTCCTAATGGTATTATTAGAAGGGTTGGTGCCCTAGACTTCTGACCCATTGGATAATTTCTGGCGTCTGGTTTCTGCACAAGTAGAAATTGGGTTACATAGCTGAGTGGGTCCTGATTGAATGGGCTGCCAAGGTGTGGTGGTTGAATACAATTTGCAACCAAATGCAATTCTTAGCCATTATTTTTCTCCCTGATACATAAGCAGTGTTTATAATGGAAATCAAGTTTGCTTTCCTGACCATTAGCAGACCTCATCATTTCAGTTTCTAATTACCCTTTTGTTCTGTCTCCTGTTTAGTGTCTATGACCTTGCTTTTAAGCCCGATGGAACCCAACTGATTTTGGCTGCAGGAAACAGATTACTGGTAGGATTTGGTCTGAGTTTCCTTTTTAAGTGCTTCTTCCCCCCTCCCTCTTATAAGTACTTTGATATTTGACCACCCCCCCTACTTTTTTTTTTTTTTTTTAAATAAAAAAAGCGGAAAAACCACTCATTACATTTTAATGGGGGAAGGAAATGGGCTATTTAAACCAGGTAAGTAAACTGTCTATCAGATCGGAACCTGTGAATAATACCTCCGCTGTGGTCATTAATCTTCCCCTTTTACTTTGAGATAACCACGAAAGGGTTGAAAACTATTAATCAAAATGCCTTTGAAATGGGGCTGGTGTCAGTTCACATTTTGTTTCCCTGAAAAATTCCAACAACAGGACTTGAGTGACGTCTTCAGTGAGAAGCCAGACAGCTTGACCCCAGCTTCTCAGCACTGGCGTACCTAAACAAGTCCATGTGCATGCCATCCGATTTTCCATGTTTTCTCAAAACAGAACCTCCCTCTGGAACCTATTCCAGTGGATGAAAGACAGTTTTAGGGAGCTCTTTGTGTTTGACCTAAAAACCTTTCTTTGCTCTTTCGTGCCCAAGTCCACTTCCCCTTGCTCTGTTGTCTCCAGATTCACAGCCTGGCCTACCCCCCTCCTTGGTGTGGTAACTACACAATCTCAAAGCCTCTGTTAAGTTGTTTTACAGATTTCTTTTCTCCTGAGTAAACAGCCCACATCCTTCTAGTTTTTCTTCACGGGTTGTCTTCTCTGATACTCTGCTTTGGAGGGTTTCTCATGATTTCTCAGATGGTGTGTTTTTTCAGTCTGTTACACAATATCTTAAATCCACATTTATAGCTGGGATGTGTAACTCCTTACTTTTTGTAAACTCAGAGTCCCGGTCTGTCACTTCCAAACTTCTTGGCAGCAAACAGAAAGCAGTTCTGTGGTGCTGCCACTAGAGGGCAGGGCGAGCACCAGAACTCACTTAGGTGGAAGCTGACTGTGTACTGGCCTCACTGGGAGGACCTGCCCAGCAGGGCCAGCCAGCATTCACGAAGGAAGGAGTGTCATTGTGATGAAGTTGCACACAACAACTGACCTTTTGTTTCTCAAGGATTGGGAGTTTAGTCCTGGCCACACAGTGCATAGAGTTAGGCTACTAATTGGGATCCCCAATTTTAAGTCACATTCTTTGTGAGTGCTCAGTGCAGTTTTTGTTTGATACAAATATAGAATGGTGACACATGTGGTGTTAGAAAAACAAAAATAGCAGCAGCAGCTAGCAGAATTTCTAACAAATGGATACCAAATGGATAATTTGGACTTTTGTCACTTTTTTGCTAGGTTTATGACACCTCTGATGGCACCTTGCTTCAGCCTCTAAAGGGACACAAAGACACTGTGTATTGTGTGGCATATGCCAAGGACGGTAAGAGGCTGCTCTGGGTTTCCAGTTCCTGTAAAGGTCACATCTTTCTCCTTAGCCCTGCTCTGAAGTGTTTCTTGTCAGCAGAAATACCACCTACAAGTTCAGAAGGGAGTCAAATGGCGAAGACTTCAGCTCAGCAGTTCTGTTCATCAGGGATCTGTTGAGGGCCATGTGTGTCCCAGGCACTGTGCTAGGTCCTTGAGCTACTTTAGAGAACAGAACAGACCAAGGGCCTGTCTTCTAAGTACTTGCAGTAAACACGGGAAGAGGTGAATTATGCTAAAAGGTGGTTACTGTCGTGGACAAAACGTCGGGCAGCATAAGGGAGATTGAGCCTACTGGATGGGCTGGGGTGGGATGTCGTCCTGAGTAAGACAGAGAGGATGGCCTTGCTAACATGGTGACAGTGAGGCAGTGAAGCTCTGGCAGGGGGCGTCTGGGAAGGAGAGCCCCTAGTTGCAGCGACCCTCAGGTGGGAGAGTGCCTGCTGACACCAGAGCAGAGGACTGTGAGGCTGGACAGGAGTAGGGTGGGAGACCAGGTCAGTTGGGCCTTAACGCTTACTGAAAATGGGGACCATCTGGAGGGCTCTGAGCAGAGGAGTGCTCTGACTTAGTGTCCCTTTAGCATCTACACTGGAGGTGGCCTGCAAGGAGTGAGGGGTGGGGGTGAGGGGACCATCATCCAGGCAAGAGGAGGAGGAGGACGTGCTGAGAAGTCCTCAGATCCTGGATGTGTTTTGAAGGTGGAGCCAATAGGGTTTCCTGACACATTGCCTATGGGGTGTGATGAAAGAGTCAAGAATGACGGTGAGGTTTGTGGAGTGACTGGCAGGATGGGGAGTGGCTTCAGTGGGGATGTGGTGACTGCAGGTAGGGATGAGGATTGCAGTGGCAGGTCAGGAGTTGACTTTGGGGCATGCTGAATTTGAGGGAAGTTGATGAAGGAGAGAGAGGGAGAATTACAGGAATAGAGTCTTTGAGTGGGCAGGAGGCAGTGGGATCAGGGGCATGGGTGGAGGGCTTTACTTGAGTCAGAAGCATGGTAGAGAGGCAGACAACTCAAGTGCAGAGGCTGGTAGGTGGGTGGATGTGATAATGTGGCGTAGGAGTCAAATGGAAATTCTCTTTGAATTCCTTCATTTTTTCAGTGAACTAGGAAGCAGCATTGTCACCTGAGAGTTAGGGTGCAGAAGATGCTGTTAGAGAACGTGTCAAATTGCCTCTCAGAGAGGGTCTAGCAAGATCCTTGACACGCTAGGGCACACTGGGAGCTCAGCTTCATGAATTTCATGTGAGGTCAGTTGGTGTGACTAATTTTCTGCAGCTGCTTTCAGCTGCACAGCTACTGTGGCAGAGAAGGAGTGTTAGGTTTGCCAGAGTGATGGTTTTGTAAGCAAATGTGAAGGTGAAATGAGAGGTGAAAAGGAAGCCAGTATATGCAAGGGGCATTCAGGTTGACCCTGAAGTGTTAGCCGAAGAAGGATGGGGAAAGGAGCCCTGCAGGCACAGTGGGTAAGCACTAACCACAAAATCAGCAGTTGCACCCACTAGCGACTCTGCTCCCAAAAACACGACAGCCTGGGAAACCCTACTGGTGGTGGTGGTGTGCCGTGGAGTCGGTTCCGACTCACAGCGACCCTGCATAATGTTTCTGAGACTGTAAATCTTCATGGGAGCAGAAAGCCTCAACTTTCTCTTGCGAAACGGCTGGGAGTTTCAAACTGCTGACTTTGAGGTTAGCAGCCCTACATGTAAACACTACGCTACCAGAGCTCCTTGGAAACCCTATTAGGCAGTTCTGTTTTGTCCTATGGAGTTCTGTTGTGGCACTGTGGGTTAATGCGCTGGACTTCAAAGTTGGTTTAAACTGCAAGGTTGGCGGTTCAAGCTCACTAGCTGCTCCTTGTAAATCCTATACAGGGTCTCTATGGGTCGGAACCGACTTGATGGCACTTAACTACAACTGTGTCCTGTAGGATCACTGTGAGTCAGACTTGACGTGTTGGTAGTTGGCTTGGTTAGGAATGAGGGGAGAGAGGACCTCAAGAGTGAGGAGCGGTGAAAACATGGTAGTTCCTGGTGGGATTGAAGGAGTTTTGGAGTTGGGTTACCAGGTGGGATGAGTGGTGATCAGACATTGGTAATTGAAATTGAGTGAAGAATAAATCCCTGGAAGACAGGCCTGTGATCTACTTCTGAAAGATCAGCTGTTGCAAACCCTGTGGAGCACAATTCTACTGTGACACTCAACAGTGACTCGGTGGCAGTCGATTTTGTAAGTGCTCATTAAATTCCCGCTAAAATGAACTCTGAAGAACAACTGGGCCCCAAACTGGATACCCATCGTAAGGAAACCACAAATTCATCATCTAGTCAGTACTGGCTTGCTGAACCTGGAGCTGCACTTTTCAAACCAGGCTCCTGTCTTCTTACAAGGAGCATGTCATCTGGTATTCATTCAGTTCCAGAGCAGTGGGGAAATGCAATGAGTCAAGGTAAATTTCATCAGGACTGTTGCTTATGCATAAAGTTTTAGGGAACCTTTTTTTTTTAAATAATCTTAGTCCAAATACTATATAAAATTATGTTACTAGAATTTTTAATTCAGAAATAGGACTAATTTTATCTCAATTTCAAAAGTAAAAGTCTCTACACATTTCTGTAAAACAGCAGATAGCACAAATTAGAATCATCTTCATAAGGAAAAGAAGCTAAAATGATGATACTAACTGGATCTGCGATCATATTTCCACATGTGGAAAAGTATTGTGGTGAAAAAAAGATGTAATCTTAGAAGTGCTTGTGTGTTTACAAAGTGATGTCATACGTAAGATTTGCTACAAAATGATGCAGTGAGGAAGGCAAAATTGTGTATATGTGCTCGAGGAGAAAGCGCAATTGAAACAAGCCAATCATGTATTGATAATTATGGAAATCGAATATTGAGTAGACTCTGTTTCTGTGTATGTTTGAATATGATCATAATGAAAAGTAAACTATAAAATAAAGTTAAAGTGATAAAAATAAGACAACCCCAAAGTGTTAACAGTAAATTCCTGCTAGCCCAGTATGTGGGAGTAGTAGGAAGAACAGAGCTTGGGAATGAGACAACCCTCGAGTTCAAACCCCAGCCCAGCACCGAAAGCTCTGTGACTCTGAGATGGTCATTGCACCTCTCTTGCGGCCTGGGGTGGCGCTATAGGATCAGCACTGCACTGCTAACCACAAGGTCAGTGGTTGAAACCCACCGGTCACTCCGTGGAAACCCTATACAGGGTCGCTATGAATTGGAACCAAGTTGACGGCACCTTCAGTAACAATAAGGACATTGGACCTTTCTGAGTCTCAATATCCTCATATGTCAAATGGATATAAGATTGGAGAGAACATTCTGTCACCACTACTGAGAAGGCATGGGATCAAAACGTTTATAGCGCTAGAACAAACCTTGGAAGATCATTCAGATTCCAAGTTTTTAAACTCTCTTAGATGATGAACCTCACTGCGAATTTGACAAATATAGACCTGTATGTAGTCCTGGGTTCAAACCCACCAGCTGCTCCTCAGAAACCCTATACAGACAGGGCCGCTGTGAGTTGGACCTGACTTAGTGGTACTTGACAATATCAACAACACTGACCTCTCTGTAGAAGAAGGTACCTATTTCATGTTTGTGCACAGTTACATGCATGCAGTTTAGTCTGACTTGACCCAAACTCTTCATTTCCTGAGGGTGTACTCTTTGGAAAATTCTGATTTAAACTAAATGTAAAAAGCTTTTTTTTTTTTTTAGGCAAGCGCTTTGCTTCTGGATCAGCTGATAAAAGTGTTATTATCTGGACATCGAAATTAGAAGGCATCTTGAAGTACACGTAAGTGAACTTTTGGTTAGTGTCCTAGTTACCTAGTGCTGAGATAACAGAAATCGCACAGGCGGTTAGATTTAACAAACAGAAGTGTGTTTTCTTACAGTTGAGAAGGCCTGATGTCCAAATTCACAGTGTCAGTCTTAGGGGTAGGCTTTTTCTCTGTGTCAGTTCTCGGGGAGGTCTTTGTCTCCTTTCAGCATCCGTGTTCCTTGAAGATCTCCCTGTATCTTGGCATCAGTCTCCCCTGGGATTAGTAGGTCTTCTGCGCAGGTTTCCTGGGTCCAAATGATGGGCTCCCTGCCTGGCTTTTCTTTCTTGGTGTAGTAGGGTCCCTCTATCTTTGCCCACTTCTCTCTCCTTTGATGTCTTGAAAGGTAAAAGATGATGCAGGCCCCACCCCAGGAAACTCCCTCATATCAGTTTGGGCTGTGAGTAAAGGTGTTGTATTCCACCTATGGCTGAGCACATAGATCACATCATGGGAGATAATCACATAGCTGCCAAATCACTTCCTCATATAACTGCCAAACCACCGAGCTGGCACACATTGCCGGCGGACACAATTCAATCCGTAACCATTTGTACAGAATTCCTATTTTGACTCTTAGCTTTTTGAGTGACTTAAAGCATAAGTCTTTTAGAAAGATGGAAGAAGGAGCTTTTTTTCTCTGACATTGAACTTGGAATTAAGTTAAGGGTGCATGTGGTGGGGACACAGGGAAGTTAGGTAGTGGGTAAGTGAAGGAACAGTTTCTGAGCACTCACCACCTTGGCCAGCTCTGGGCTGAGTGTCTTACAAAAGAGATCTCAATTCACCTGACATTGCAGACTCCACCCCACCCCACCCTGCTCCTTCTCCAGTGTCCCCATCTCAGGATGACCTCCAGCCAGAGTCAAAAGCTAGAAATGTGGGCTCTGCTGGGCTCTAGGTTTCCTCCAACCACAGGGGTCTGCATACATTCCTTTCCCATCCCTCCACCTAGTTACCCCACTCACGCCGACTCCTCTAGAGCAGGCCAGCTCTCCTCTGGACTTGTCACAGTTGGGGCTTCATGGTCACTCTCCCAGTAGCCTGTAAGTGCATCTGCTTTCTCTCAGCGTTGTGTCCCTGGTGCTGGCCCAGCACGGATACTCAGCAAGCAGTATTCGAATGAATCAATAATGAGTGAAAAAGTCATGAGTCCAGTGTTAACCAAGAAATAAACGTGGGGTCCGGTTGCCATCCCGGTACGTGGTGCTCACTCACTGCGCTTTTATCGTTGTCTAAGTGTTTGCCCTGTTTCTGGAGCTGAACCTTGTAAATGCCTTCACTGCCCTCTTCCACATTTCTCGTTCTCCACATGGCAGTAAGAGGAGCACCCTGAATAAAGCCCTCACGGTGCCCCTGGCATGGTTCTAGTGCTTGACCTCAGTATCTTATCATGTCACATGCCTGGAGTTTCCAGCACACAGTCCCAGGGGAGATGGCGTGTAGCCTGGCCAGAATCTGGGGTAATGTTTCGAGAAGTGGAAAGCAGAGTGAGGGGCAATCCAGGAGAAGGAGAGTGAAACCCTGAGGTGTGTGGTCAGAGGCTGGGGCTCACGCATAAACACTGCACTTGTCGCTGCTTCCACACAATAACCTCCAGTTATGCCCTTTCCAGGCACAATGACTCTATCCAGTGTGTCTCCTACAACCCGGTGACCCACCAGCTGGCATCCTGCTCCTCGAATGACATTGGTAGGTTTTGATTCTTGATGTACTGCCCTAGCATAATTGAAAGACTGGGCTAACGCCCATGCCGAATGGGGTGGTTTTGTCCTGAAAGGGCTAACGCTACTTCTCTACCTTCCAATGATGAAAGCAAGGCTCAAACCAACTGTGAAGATAAGATGGAGCCTGGTAAAAAGTCTTGCAGACACCAGGGCAGGCTTCAGGAGAGGAAAGTGCTCAGAGGACTGGGGCACAGACACAGCTTGGGTGTAGCATCTCTAGGGAAGCTGATCAATTCCCTGAGGCAAGAACCCATTTGTCCTTGCCTAATTTGGCTAATCCCCCACTGTTTCTGCAGGGTTTAGCGCATTGTTGTTCCTTGTCTAGTAGCTGTAGTTGGCATCCCTGAGGGGCTGCACATCCCCGGGGTCCGCACAGGGCTGGCATGGTGCTGGTGTAGAAGAGTGCAGGTGGGCTTGTTGTTGTAAGGTCCCTTCGAATCCATTCTGACTCCTAGCAGCCCTACACACATCAGAATGAAACACTGCCCAGTCTGGTCCATCCTCACAGTTGTTATGTCTGAGCCCATTTTTTTCATCCTGTGTCACTCTGCTTCCTTGAGGGACTTCTCTTTCCATGACCCTTCATTTTACCGAGTGTGATGTCCTTTCCATCCACTGGTCCTCCTGACAGTATGTCCAAAGTCATCATCACTTCTAAGAAGCATTAGAAGACAATTGGCTGTGCTTCTTCCAGGATAGATTAGTTTGTTCTTCTGGCAGTCCACGGTACTTTTAATATTCTCTAACACCTTGATTCATACGCATTGATTCTTCTATCATCTTCCTTATTCACTGTCCAACTTTCGCATGCATAGGAAGTGACTGAAAATACATGGCTTGGGTCAAGCACACCTTAGTCCTCAAACTGACATTTGTGCTCTCGAACACTTTAAAGAGGTCTTTTGCAGCAGATTTGCCTAATGCAGTACATCATGTAATTTCTTGACTGTTGCTTTCATGAGTATTGATTATGGATCCAAGCAAAATTGAGTCTTTGACAACTTCGGTGTTTTCTCTGTTTACCATGATGTTATTTATTGGTCCAGTTGTGAGAATTTTTGTTTAGTTTGATTGAGGTGCGATATATACTAAAGGCTGTGGTCTTTGATCTTCATCAATACGTCTTCTCACTTTCAGCAAGCAAGGTTATGTCAGCTGCATATGACAGATTATTAGTGAATCTACTTGTAATCCTGATACCACATTCGTCTTCATATAATCCAGTTTCTTGGGTTACTTACTCAGCGTAAAGATTGAGTAAGTATGATGAAAGGATACAACCCTGGCACATACCTTTTCTGATTTTAAAACATTCAGTATCCCTTTGTTTAGTTCAAACAACTGCCTCTTTGTCTATAGGTTCCTCATGAGCACAGTTAACTGTTCTGGAATACCCATTCTTCTCTGTGTTATCCGTAGTGTGTTATGATCCACATAGACGAATGCCTTTGCATAACCAATAAAGCACAAGTAAACATCTTTATAGTATCCTCTGCTTTCAGCCGTGATCCATCTGACATCAGCAGTGATATCCCTTATTCCACGTCCTCTTCTGAACCTGACGAATTTCTGAACACTCCCTGATGTACTGCTGCAACCATTTTTAAATCATCTTCAGCAAAATTTTACTTGTATTTGATAAAAATGATATTGTTTGATGATGTCTGCATTCCAGTAGGTCACCTCTCTTTGTTGTTGTTGTTGTCAGGTACCATCGAGTTGGAACCGACTCATAGCCACCCCATGCACAGCAGAATGAAACAATGTCTGCTCCTGGGCCAACCTCACTACCGCTGCCACACTTGACGCCATCAATGATGCCTCCTCTCTTTAAATGAGCACAAATATGGGTCTCTTCCAGTCATTTGGCCAACTGTCTTCCAAATTTCTTGACATAGACAAGTGAATACCTCCAACACTGCATCAGTTTGTTGAAATATTTCAATTTATATTCAACTTATATTTTTAGGGCATTGTTTCTCACCAGTGCCTCTAGTGCACAGTCCAGCCAAGACTTCTTCCTTCAGTACCATCAGTTGATTGTATCCGACCTCCTGAAATGGTTGAACATCAATCAATTATTTTTGGTACAGTGAATATGTATTTCTTCCATCCTCTTTTGATGCAGCCTGCATCATTCAATATTTTACCCATAGAATTCCTCAGTACTGTGACCCAAGGATTGAATTCTCATTCAGTTCTTCCAGCTTGAGAAAAGATGAGTGTTCTTCTCTTTTGGTTTTCTAACTCCAGGTCTTTGCACATTTTACTATAATACTTTGTCTTCTCTAGCTGTCCTTTGAGATTGTCTGTTCAGCTCTTTACTTCATCATTCCTTCTATTGCTTTAGCTTTTCTATGTTCAAGAACAATGTAGTAAATTCGATTCCTTTGTATTCCACCTGGTTAGGTCCATATGCCTAGTCGCCATTTTTTGTTGTTTATTGAAGGTATTTGCCATGGATGGATATGTCATTGTTGTTGTTAAGTGCCCTCAAGTCAGTGATGACTTTCTAAGGTTGCAAATTTTTACAGGAGCGGCAAGCCTCATCGTTTCCTCAAGGAGTGGTTGGTGGGTTTGAACTGTCGACCTTGTGGTTTGCAGCCCATTGTTAATCCTAACGAGCCACTGTGCCACCAGTATAAATAATTGGTCTTGTAAAATTTTGTCATGCAATCTTCAGCATTGTTTCTATCACTAAGGTCATATTTTTCCAGCTAACAACCCATCTTTGTTTCCAGCTTTTGCATTCCAGTCGCCAGCAGTTATCAGTGCATCTTGATTGCATGTTTGATCGATTTCAGATTGAAGAAATTGGTAGAATTCTTCAATTTCTTCATTTCTGACTTTAGTGGTTGGTGCATAAATTTAAATAATAGTGGTATAAACTGGTCTTCCTTGTGTGTATGGGTATTATCCTATCACAGACAACGTTGTACTTCAGAATAGATCTTGAAATGCTCTTTATGATGATGAATGAGACACCTTCCTCTTTAATTTGCTGTTCCTGGCATAGTAAACCATGTTGTTAAGTGCCTATGAGTTGGTTTCGACTCATAGCAATGCTGTATATAGCCATGGTATTTTCAGTAACCTCATAAGCATATGAAAGCTGGACAGTGAATAAGGAAAACCATAGAAGAATTGATGCTTTTGAGTTATGGTGTTGGAGGAGAATATTGAAAGTGCCATGGGCTGCCAAAAGAACCAACAGATCTGTGTTAGAAGAAGTGCAGCTAGAGTGCTCCTTGGAGTCCAGGATGGCCAGACTTCGCCTCTCATCCTTCAGACATATTGTCAGGAGAGACCCGTCGCTGGAGAAGGATATCATTTTTGGTAAAGTGGAGGGTCAGAGAAAAAGAGGAATACCCCCAGCAAGATGGATTGGCAAAGTGGCAGAATCAGTGGGCTCAAGTGTGGCAACAATTGTGAAGTTGGCCCAGGACTGGGCAGTGTTTCGTTCTGTTGTGCATAGGGTTGCTATGAGTCGGTACTGACTCGATGGCACCTAACATCAATAGGGTTTCTGAGGAATCACTGGTGGGTTTGAACTGCTAATTTTTTAGTTCAAACTGACCTTTCGGCCCACTGCATTATCCTACAGCACTACACCACGACTCCTAGTAAATTGTGGTGGTGGTTATGTGCCGTGGAGTTGGTTCCGACTTCTAGCAACCCTATACAGGGTTTCTGAGGCTGTATGATTGTCCAAATCAAAATGGGCAATACCTGTCCACTTCAGCACACTGATGCTTAGGATATTAATCTGTATGCATTTCATTTCATTTGTGACAACTTCTGATTTCCTAGATTCATACTTTGTAGATTCCACAGTTCGATTATTACTGGATGTTTGCAGTTGTTTCCTCTAATTTTTTTTTCTTTTTATTGTGAGTTGGGAGAAGGCTTACAGAACAAATTAGTTTTCTTTTTTTGTTTTTACTTTTCATTATGAATTGAGCAAAGGTTTACAAACAACATCATCAGCTTTACATTCAACAAATTATATGCTTTGTTTCATCTCAGCGATTACAATCCCCTCCCTGCAACAATAGTTATTCTACGTCCTCCCTGGGTCTCCCCATTTACATCTTATATTTCACAAATAACCAAAGCAAAAAATATTATATGTGCACATACAAAACAAAAAATATATGTTCATTTAAATGTCCAAAGGGCACATTCTGCAAGCCAGCTTCCTGCCTGCAGGCACACAGCCTTGCTCAGTCCATGGGCCTAGAGCTGGAAGCTGCTCTGTCTCTCCATGCCACTGCCTCTGTCACCGGCTCTGCTGTCCCCACTTTTCTAGGTAGGGGTCTCACATGCCAATAATGCTCTTCCTTTCTTTTTAATGTTTTATTGTGAATTATGTGATAGTTTACATGGGAGAACATGAATTTTACATTCATTCTATTGTATATCGTCTCATTGCCATGGTTACAGTCCCCTCCATGCATCATCAACCAACCAAAGGGTATACCCTGCAAGCCTGCCCCCTACACCCCCCTGGTCCTCAGCACACAGTCGCTCTCCCTCTCTGGATCTAAAGTCCCCAGCTGCTCCATCGCTCCATGTCATCGTCTCTGCCTCCATATCAGGCATCGCTGCTTATCTGGGTAGGGTCCTGCACTCTGCTCTTCTCCGTTGATGGTCCTAGGGACCTCCGCTGCTAGACTGAAAAGTTAATCACTCCCCTCCTTGCTATAAAGCGTCTACCTTTACATTTCCAACCCTCACAATCAGTCCTGATAACAGTTGTTCACTATTGTATCACAGGAGACCCATCTGCATTTCATTTCATCAGCCCCACCTAGACAGATTGGATACTACTCACTGGAGATTCTACCTTCCTCAAGGCCCTCTGGATCTAGGTTCCCTCTTGAAAGTTTGTATGCCCATCCCTCTCTACTCTGTGTGTGGAGGGTTGGGAATGATTCTTGCTGTAAGGATTTGTTCCCTCTTTTG